TGTTATTGTCAGTCTGCTACTATCAAGGAATTCGATTAAACAATATAAAGTTATAGATAAAAAAAGTACGAGGAAGCAGAAGATAATAATTCTCAGGTGTTTCAAATCCAAATAAGCATATCATCATATCTTATCTAAGGAAATACAACAATCTTTATCAAATCGAATCAAAAATAGGCACAGGAATTCATATTCGCCGGTACAGGAGTCTTGATAAACACCACGCCGATGAATATTTTTGAACAAATCTGTAATCCAATAAATTACTTGAGGTCTATAAAGGAAAACATTATCGTCAAGTCTTGACAAAAAATCCGTTTCAGATTTATTTGCAGTTAACTTCCTTAGAACACATGCCTAATGAAGGTTATACCGGCCTTCTAACGAATTCAGAAATAATTTCGAAACCGGAAATTCTGTGGGGGTTTTCCACATATAAATTATTCAATTCGTGAATCAGTAAAGCCAAATATGTTGACAAACTTTTTAATTCGAATACCTATCAATTCTCAATGATCAAAAACAATCAGACATCTATTGAAAATGGAAATCTATCGTGGCTAACCAAGTGAAAAATATTGTCTCTTGATTTTTTTCAAATCTTGTACTCAAGCATCTACTGTCTGTGCAGATCCCCACAATTCTTGTCATGTTATCGCCATCTACTGGCTCTGATTTGATATAGGAGTCATACTAAGCCATTGATCAAGCCAGTAGGTCGCTGGTAACCTATTGTCAACCTCCTACATCACATTATAACAATGAACTCAATATAAACACCTGGAAGGGATCCTCTGTGAACGAGTGAGGCAAAAATATTGTTCAGGCAACCCGCAGTGGTTACGGATACTTACCTCTTTCTATCTCATGTTGGCTAATGGAAAGCGCTCGCATTATTTGAAATATTTTCTTCTTTTTTGCTTTTATTTAAGAGTATACGTGATTAAATTTGAATATTCATTTAGGGAAAATGATAATTTTGCAATCAATTATTATTTGAATATAATTAACTGCTAGATCTCATAACTGAGAGATCTAGGATGAACAGAGTTGCCCCAATTGTCAGCAGGAGCGAGACAGTACTGTTTCGACCCACCATGTCTCATCAGCCGCTCTCGGTCTGCTGACAACTGGGACAACGTGGGTATATCACCCATTTCGAAGACGCAGGGTATAACATGAAGTTATAGTCATGTTGTAGCCATCTAGTGGCAATAAAGCTCTAAGGTAGGATACAGAAATCGCGACACACACTGTATGGCGCTGTCATCTATAGTCACACGTACAGACCCCTACGTCTACAGAGTGGTACTACAAGTAAACCACTCTGCTGACAGATGGCACTACCTGACATACTTGAGTGGAATTTTCCACTAGATGGCTACAACATGACTATAACTTCATGTTATACCCTGCGTCTTCGAAATGGGTGATATACCCGAAGCGTAGAGTTGTCCCAGTTGTCAGCAGACCGAGAGCGGCTGATGAGACCTGGTGGGTCGAAACAGTACTTTCTCGCTCCTGCTGACAATTGGGGCAACTCTGTTCATCCTAGATCCCTTAGTTATGAGATCTAGCAGTTGAATAGGTCTTGGAAAAATTCCACTCAAGTATGTCAGGTAGTGCCATCTGTCAGCAGAGTGGTTTACTTGTAGTACCACTCTGTAGACGTAGGGGTCTGTACGTGTGACTATAGATGACAGCGCCATACAGTGTGTGTCGCGATTTCTGTATCCTACCTTAGAGCTCTATTGCCACTAGATGGCTACAACATGAATATAATTATTGATTTTTTATTGACTCGAAAATGAAATTCCAGTTTTATCCTCACAGGATTAGGAAGGAAATGAATACAAAATCGAAATTATGTATCCTCATTTAAATGTCACAAATTGTACAGGGTGGGCGGAGCTCAATGTCTCTGCACCATCAGAAGAAATAGAAAAAAGATAGAAAACATTTGAAAAGAGGTTCTTGAATGGTATGGAGTACCTAAGGTCTATTTTAAGCCTAATTTATACTTATACTTATCTCTTTCTATCTCATGTTGGCTATGGAAAGCGCTCGCATTATTTGAAATATTTTCTTCTTTGCTTTTATTTAAGAGTATATGTGATTAAATATAAATATTCATTTAGGAAAAAGGATAATTTTGCATTCAATTATTATTTGAATATAATTATTGATTTTTTATTGACTCGAAAATGAAATTCCAGTTTTATCCTCACAGGATTAGGAAGGAAATGAATACAAAATCGAAATTATGTATCCTCATTTAAATGTCACAATATATTGTACAGAGTGAGCGGAGCTCAATGTCTCAGCACTATCAGAAGAAATAGAAAAACGATAGAAAACATTTGAAGAAAGGTTCTTGAATGGTATGGAGTACCTAAGGTCTATTTTAAGCCTAATTTATACTTATACTTATCTCTTTCTATCTCATGTTGGCTAATGGAAAGCGCTCGCATTATTTGAAATATTTTCTTCTTTTTTGCTTTTATTTAAGAGTATACGTGATTAAATTCAAATATTCATTTAGGAAAAAGGATAATTTTGCAATCAATTATTATTTGAATATAATTATTGATTTTTTATTGACTCGAAAATGAAATTCTAGTTTTATCCTCACAGGATCAGGAAGGCAAATAAATACAAAATCTAAATTATATATCCTCATTTAAATGTCACAATATATTGTACAGGGTGAGCGGAGCTCAATGTCTCAGCAATATCAGAAGAAATAGAAAAACGATAGAAAACATTTGAAAAGAGGTTCTTGAATTGTATGGAGTACCTAAGGTCTATTTTAAGCCTAATTTTCATGAGTACCTATTTTTCCATAAACCTTTTACTGTTAGAAGGTGAATGAAAGGTGAATAAAAAGTGAATAAAAGTACAATGTTAGGACGCATTTCTTCAATAAAGATGAATATCTGCGTCGCCCAGAATGTACACCTCCAAAGGCAAATCTGAAAAGACAATATTATGATGAAGCTCTTGAGTTTAATTTGGACTTGTAGTTTTCTTCTTCAAAATGTTTTTTTAGTACCTCATCAAGATTGTCATTCTCCCATTTACTTTTTGTTTCAGTTTTTTCACCTTTTTTTTGCAGTAGAATAGGCCTTCTCGAATGAAACAGTTTGTGGGTTCCATTATCAATTAGCTTTGAAACTTACATGGGAGCTGGAAGTGAGCAAATGAATGTCCTAATGAAAAACAGTGTCCTTAGAATCCAAGTTATGAACATCCACAAACACATCCTGAAAATAAATTAATTAATTCATTCAAGATTGATTAATGAAAGCATCTTGTAGCTCATTTGATTGCCAATGTCACTAATTGTCACTGAGAACTGGGAAGTGTCAAGACGAATACGAATTCGCTATTCAAATATTCATTTTTTTATGTTGAAAACGGGAGCAGATTCGTTCTCGAAACGTCCAAAGAAGAGTGAAAATTTGATATTTTTTCGATATACCTTTATTTCTCTTCTCCAAACCTTTTTGAATACAAATTGTCACTGACAAAAGCTGGTGAATTTTTCTTTTAGGCTCTCAGACAGGAGATTTCTTTAAACGCAGTGACATTTTGGGGTAAATCATCTGACTATTCCTTACTACACGTATATTAAAATAGTATTCATATTTTTAATTTATAGAAACGAGGAGAGAAAATCCCAAATAATCTGGAATAATGAATGTACAGGGTGTCCCACTTGAATGTGTGACACCCCATCGTCTTCGTAATTCTCAACATATTTTGGTCATTCGAAAACTTTTCTGCTATAGTTTTTTACGCATTTTTTGAATCTGTGTTCACTTCTTCTCCATATCAATAAATCACAGGGTGAATCAAGAAACTTTTTTTTTTTTCAAATGAAATGATCCATATTTTCAATCTGAATTCAAACATATATACAGGGTGGGCCACCAGTAACGCCTCGGTCTCTAGAAGGCTAACCACTTATCTTCTTGGAATTTTTCCTCTCTAGGAAGTTGCATGTCAACATAGGCTACCATTTGAAATTATTTCGAAACATACAGGGTGTCCCCAAAAACCATAAAACACTGAAGTTAAACTTTTTTCTATCGAACACCCTATATATTATTTCATTTTGAGATTCTCCCTGATGAGCTGATTTCAACGACATATACCGGGTGATCAAGATTCTGAATTCTGCACCACCCTGTAATTGTTTCAATTAAATGTCAGTAGATAGTTGATCAAAAGTTGAGATAGGGACATGTGAGCCGTTTTGACCAATTATGAATGGTTTAGACACAAAAAATTCTTGAACTTGGAAAATCTCGATTTCTCACACCCTATATCTCAATAATTATAACTGCTAGACCCCAAGTATGATGGATTGTTGAAATCAGCTCACCAGGGAGAATCTCAAAATGAAATAATATATAGGGTGTTCGATTGAAAAAAGTTCAACTTCAGTGTTTTGTGATTTTTGGGGACATCCTGTATGTTTCAAATTAATTTCAAATGGTAGCCTATGTTGACATGCAACTTCCTAGAGAGGAAGAATTCCAAGAAGATGAGTGGTTAGCCTTCTAGAGACCGAGGCGTTACTGGTGGCCCACCCTGTATATCATTGATATATTATTATCGATTAGATCATTTGATTTGATAAAACATCTTCTTACTTTAGCCACCCTGTTTTTGTTGATATGAAGAAAAAGTTAGCACACATTCGAAAAAAGCGTGAAATATTATTCCAGGAACGTTTTTGAATGGTCAAAATATGTTGAGAATTATACGAGAATAAAGGGAGTGACACATTAAGGTGGGACACCCTGTACCACCTCCTCGATTAACCTACAGACAGTATTTAATAAGATGATCTAGCTGAGTAGGAAGATCTCATTTCTTCTCAAGCAAGACGATCTCGCTTCTTTTCAACCCTCCAGCGCTTCCTCACAATCATGATTGTAATCTGATAGAAACACGACAACGCCCGAATGATAACAATCTCTATTCGTTTTCAGTTCGTACAAATCGGAAAGAACGTGATCTGCCTGGAATCTCCGCAATCCGCCATGAGTCCGCCGGTGACCTCGAACCAATCAGTATACTTAACCATTCCTAGCCAGAACTCCTCGAACGTGAAGATGTACAAGTCGCATCCGAAACCTGCGGCCGTTCCGAACTACGGCGGCAAAAAAGTAGGCGGGGCGATTCTCTTGTTGAACCAACGCGTCGAAAACCAGAGAAACAAAGTCTTGATGGCGATCAATGCCAAACGCAAAACCGTCAACAACTCTCATAGCTACAGGGCGATCTCTTTGCTGAACCACAATAACAACAACAACAACGTGCACAGACCGAACATTCTCAAGGTCAAGGGGGTCAACAAGGTGAACTGCAAGAGATCGGCCAATGATAAGCTGATACATAGTGATAACAAACAGATGAGGCTGACTCCGAATGTGAACGGGTTCATTTTGCATTCCGACATTAGTGAAACGGCTGACGCTCCGCACTCTAATAATTGTCTACAAGAGAAGATCGCTCTCCTCAACATGAAATAGTTCATCCAAAGTTCTGACTGTATATATGTATTATAATTTTAAGCTGTTTTTTTATTATTTAATTTATTTGTTTATTGTTTTAAATTATTTCAATTCCGAACCACTTATGTTTTCAATGTGTGTAAGAATCCCATCACAATAATCCGTATTATGTATGTTAAAAATGATAGTCTGCCTCAAATCAGTTTTTCATTGCTCTTTCCCTCCCTGATCGGGGCAGGGCCTACTCTATCTCACCGGGCCGGAGCATCGCTTTCGTGACGTCACACTAGTAGGGACAAAATCAACGCAGTGGAAATTGCCTCTCCCGTTTCATTGATTTACCTCGGGAAAACGGTCACAGTTTGCAAAAAATATCAAGAGGTCAAACATGTACAGAAAAGAATTCTCCAGAAGATTAATCAAATTTCACTGATATAACGATCATTAATTTCAGAAATATGGCATATCAAAATTAATTGACGCCATTCAGAATTGTCTTTTTTCAAACAGCTACCAAAATTCCAATATTCAATTCACAGAAATGATTCAATCATGAAAAGATTTCGCATAGTATCTAGATTGACTGAGTTTTTTTTTCAAATCCCCAAGGGCCAACAACAAACCGAAGTGGAACGATGATTCAGGTGTTCATTACAGAATAGTGCAAAAAGTTCGGACGCCTCCCATGCTCATCCTATAAACTATGGATATATGCTGTCACTGACTTTTTTGTAGGAAATTTGATTGCCTACAAATCGGTATGATACACACCCACTTTATCTCGAAGGGTTTTAGCAGCGTTTATCTCTAAAGATGATCAAGACGCACTTTGATGACGTTAGAAATCCCATCACTCGAGTGTGTTATTACACAAAAACGCCTATTCGGTATCAATTATTTTCTGCTGAAGAGTATCTTTTGAATGATAACGTTAAATTCATGAAAAAAATTTGATTTGGATATATTTGCAAACTATCAAAATTAAAAAGAACAAAATATGTGGAGTTCATATGAACACAACCTAACAAAAATAATTGAAAAAATATGTATCTCAACAATGAGAGATATAAAAATGAATATAAGGAACTGAATAACAAAATACCCAGAACAATGATATATGAATGAATGAGGAAAAAAAGAAAAAAAAAACTCCTTATACACAAACAAAACCAAACAAAATAAACTGTAAAAATGATCATAACAAAATAAAAAAATTGATAGATATCACAAAATGAAATACACTAATAACAAAAAATATATATACATCATCTTAATCACAAACTAAAAATTTATATCTGAACTATATCTCATCCTGAAAGTTTAGTGAATTTTCTTTTTTAACTTTCTTTATTTTGCAATAATTGTTCAACAGAACATTTTAAATAGTTTTAGAGAATGTTCTGCTGATTCCATCAAAAGACCCACAACTGCAACATTGATTCTCGGAATAATTGAGAAAGGAATAATTGATTTTAATTTCTGCTAAATTCTCCAAAACTCTATGTTGTGACTTACATTGTAGAAATATAGACACCAATATTAGTTGGTCTGAACCATACGCCATTTAGAAATAAAATGAGTAATAAAATAAAGTATACCGCCCTTTACCAGTCCAAGGAATTACCGCGAAAAAATCGTAATACAGCGAAATTTGGGTAGGTATAGGTATAACGGCCCATTTTTTACGCGCTCTTTTTATTTAATTTCTTTCGGACTCATTGTAGGTAACTCTACAATTTTTTCACTATTCAATTGATTCATTATCGTAGTTTGATATATTGAGTTAGTTTCATCTTATTCCAATTCCAAATTTGCAAAAAATAGTATTCTGTAGCAACGTCCTGATTTTCAATAAAATAGAATTTCGTGACAACGCCATAACTCAGTATTGATTCATTTTTTCACCAAAAGTTGAGGAATTTGTTGGGAATCATTTCGTCTCGATTGAGTGTGCTTCTAAAATTTATAGTAAATGAGCTATAGCCTATCAATTACGAACGCACCAGTATGGACTGATGTGAAATCTCAACCTACTAGTGTGACGTCAGCGTCGAGAGAGAGGGGATAGACTACGGCCCGGTGAGATAGAGTAGGCCCTGATCGGGGTCGACCCAACTTGTAGCCAGTAATGCACGGGGTGTTTCCCTGATCGAGGCCGACCCAACTTGTAGCCAGTAATGCACAGGGTGTTTCAGACTCAAATGTACATACGACACTGACGGTTTCAAATCACCCCTCACCCCTCCCCCCTTCATTTTGGCAAAATCTTCATCTGGTCATAATTAATTCTTGATTCACTATATAATCTATAGATAATTGGTAGAAATATTCCACTTATATTACACATCAAAACTAAATAATAATAATAATAAAAGTCTTTATTAATCACGATCCGATAAATCTTGATTAATAATATAAAAGATGGGGCGAGGTTCAATTCATTCTAGAATCCTGAAAGGGGTCTAGAAGATCTGTTCTTCCACCTAACCCAGCAAACAGATAGACGTGTAAAAATCGAGATCAGAATTCAGGTCCGTCTTAGGGAAAAATAGAGAAAACTTCTTTTATTTCAAAAACAACACTCTGTATGGCAACATTTTGTGGATCTGTTTTGATATTTGGAATGAGCGGGAAAAATGAATAAAGTTGCAAACTTTTTACGAGCGCGCATCCAATTAGACAGATAGTTTATTATTATGTTTCGAAATATTCAGCTCCATTTCGAGTCATTTTTATTGAACTCGTTATTCAAAATCGTAATTATAATACAAAAAAATAACAGTCTTCAAAGTTCAACATCATTAGAGTCATATTATAGGTGAACTATCGATAGATTTGTTTGTTTTACAGAATAACGAACTTGTCAATGATTTCAGAAAATTTGGAGGACTCATATTTTATTCTTCACAATTTATTCATAAGGTGCAGTCATCAAGTAGGCTATGCAAAAAAAATTTAAAATGCTGGCAGATCATAATCACCAGTTTGATATTATTGGTAACATTATGTTATTGTCATGAAAAGACTATTTAAAAAATAAAATTTGTTGGAATTTTTTTTCAACTCATATATATTTTTAAGAAACTTTAATGATTGGGGCCTAAACTGTACTTCTATATATAAGAAGTATTTTATAAGTGATGGGACGTGAACACTTGAACACAACTTCGATGTACCTATATATGTATCAAAAGACATCTGGAATGTGCTGAGTAGGATAGGATAATCCAATTTATTCACCCAATTAGGTACTGATTGAATTAAACACCGATAACTATAATGCACTGAAAATGGTCCAAGGTTCAATCTGATTCTAGCAATTACATTTCTAGATAATATTTCAAAATATTTTGTAGACCGGGGGACACCACATGGCACATGGTTCAACGTAGGTAGGGTGAGCTGATTTCAAAAATGACAAAAGAGTACACTCGTCTTCAGTGATCATGTCGCACATGGACGGTGTCAGATCCTTGATCGCCGCTGCAATAAGAGCGCTCATATCGTCTAACCGCGACATGCTTGCTGAGGACGAGTGTACATTCAGAATTAAGTGAAATAACAAATGGGAAAAACGCCACAGGCGATTTTTTTCATTATTCAAGGTTAAAAAATGCATTTAAATTGAAAATCAGAATTCCTCCTACCTTTGAAACAACTGCCTATTTGACCAATATCATGAGTCAAAAAATTGAAATAAAAAGAACTGAATAGATAAGTATAATTAAAATATTTTTTTTCGTGTACACCGATTTATTGTCACATACAGAACAGCAGGGCACATATATAGAACAGAAAGCACAGAAACTTAAAATTGGAAGAAACATCAGAGAACAAAGGATTACATCGATTCACGAGTTATGAATCAAATTTCTTTATTTCCTGATCTTTTTTCAGTTTTTTTCATATTCCTTAATCATCTTATCATCAAAAATTGACTGTAAACGGGTCCGAAAAAGGACATTTGCCTCCCAAATAAAAAAAGTACGAGGACAGCAGCATCCAAAAAGAGTACTTGTACCATAAAAAGTGTACGTCTGGTCACCCTAACCCAGCGAGCACAAAAACATCTCAGAGATGTTAAAAGTACGAGATTTCGAGACATTGAACCTCCACTGCAATGTTCTGTTCACACATGAATAGAACTATTATAGAACAACCAATGTTTGCCGCAGGCGGCAATTATCGAGATGTCCTTGATATGTCACAAAACTACCCTATTCCTAGTTCTTTTTAAAGCCTTTTCATGGACACAACAAAACATTTTCAACGCGTCTTGCGCACATTAAATCGCTGTAAAAAAACCATTTTCGAGGTACTTTTCTGAAGCCTTTTGTCAAAATGAACTTTTGCATTAGGATTCCATTTCCCTTGAATGAAAAAATGCATTGAAAATAGATTGAACATTAAAATATTTTCTTGATATGAAATTACCTTCTCAATCGGTTTCTGAGTAGTGCTTACTACACACAGACATATAATTGGAAATAGGTTTCCCAATTTTTTAAATGTTCTCCACAATGCATAATTTTGCAACTGCGGATCGAGAAGTTGTGTATTGATAAATTCTACTTTTATATATTGATTACACTGAGGCACCAAACAACACATCTTGCATCTGATGGTCATTATTACAAACTAAATAAGTCTTCTAACACAATAAACTTCACCAAATTCCTTTCTGTTCGTTAGCAGCGTGATGTAAGCGTGACACGCTGCAAACGCGAATGCCAATTGCGAACAAGAAGAACAAAATCGAAAACAAATCAGAATTCATCGTATTGTCACGTAAGCATGAGACGTTGTGGTGGGGCAAACAAAGAAAGGGCACAAAAGAACAAAAACAATACTTTCAATATCCTTCTAAGACCTCTTCGGGAAGTGCATATTTCGCCTCAAAAAAACATCCTCATGCCTACATTTCTAAAACATCCCAGGGATACCTCTCAGTGGGCAAACAAAGAAATGCCACAAAAGAACAAAAACAATACTTCAATATCCTTCAAAGACCTCTTTGG